GATAATAAGGTGTATAACTGGAGAAGTGTTTGGAATTTTTTGTATCAGTCATTGGGATAGAATGGTGGACATAGTAAGTAGTTGTCATATGAACATCAAGGGCATTGTAAGTTAAATGTATTTAACTATGTATGTATCAATTGAATATACTATTAAAGAAAGCAAAGCAAGTTTAAATTACTAACAAGGGAATTTATTACACATTTTAAGTTATTATGGATTGATGAAATTTGGAAGCAAAGTTATTGTGCATTGTTGAATCGCTGCATTTCAAGAATTTGCTATTTATAAATTCATACGAAAGAAAAAGAGCTAAAGTTTCATACAGTAGCAACACTTGCTAAGTCACCTCTCGCTGGAGTATTCTCTTGCAACCATTGTTCCATGTAATATGGAAAAGACAACAACAACTTGCTAAGTCACATCGATGATGAATACTTTATATCCTAATTTAACATAACGTAATAGTTCTGAAATTTTAGAGACTCTGTTGAAGTTTTGAGGTTCGAATCCCGCGAACGGGCTGGCTGCATGGATGTTTTCATGATTTTCCCCATGTTTAACGTGTACACAAGCCAGTTTCCCTTAGAAAGTCCTCCACGAAGGCATCCCTCCTCTTAGGGAAGATAGCCCTCGAAGCTTTGCTGTAATTAAAATAACCTAACCTAACCTGTTGAAGTTATTTCTAATATCAACAAAAGAAAAAAAAACTTGTAAAATGTGATTTTTTTAAAAAAACTGCAATCTATGAAAATCTAAAATTCAAAACTTGCATGAAAATCATTTGAATCATTGGTAAATTGTGATTTGCATCTTATTTTGAATTAATGTGTGACAGAGAATATTGGTACTAATTGTGAAGCTTTCCTTGTTAGAATAATGCTGAGATATTAACACTAGAATTACGGTGGTCTTTGTATACCTAGAATTACGGTGGGTGTCATTTTGACCACTTGATAAGATATCTGCATATTTCTGTTTATGATATTATATATTTGTGAAAAAGCAATTAAAATAACGTAAATTACGACAACTACAGTTTATTTTAAAGAATATAGAGACTTTGCAGGGATGTAGTCAAATAATGAACAAGCATTTAAATATTTCCATCGGAAAATGTAATATCCCCCCCCCCCATTTTCAATAGTTTACATTTCAGTAACACAGAAAATCAAATATATAAATATTTACACAAATTTTTCCAAAAAAAGTGGTTTTTAATCCAAATATTAAAGTATTTTAAAACAAACTTTTTGCTATAAAGAGTACAGTCAAAAGTCGTTAATTTGGACACCCATAATCCGGACCTCAAAGCTACAAACTTTCTGCGCATGCGTCACATTGACACATGCACATAGGCATTTACGTGTGCACGTAAGACCTTTATGGCTGCGAATATGCATGTGCGCATGCGAATAATACGTTTACGCAAGCGTGTTTAATGTATAACGGGTGGTATAAGCTAAGCTAAAATTATCTAATTCAGTTAATGTTGCAGATTGCGTTGTTCCTTAATCTTCGAATTGGATCCGGCTTATTATTTTTTGCAGGACTGTTAGAAGCAATTTTTAAAAGTAAGCTTGAACTTACGATTATGTCAAATAGAATTTCCGATATATATTTACTAATATGTAAAGGATCTACAAAGCGAAAATATGTTTCGAAGTCCATTAAACAGAGAGTGGAATTGCTGCATAAAATGGATAAAGGCATATCCTTTGATTATCTAATCATTCTGAAATATGTTTATCAATTTCATACTGCTCTGGCGGGGGGGGGACGCCACGGCGCGCAATGAATTCGAAGTTCATCTGTCAGCACTATCCTTATCTTCAGGGCAGATGTTTTTATTTTATTCGGCTTATAATTCTTTACTAAATATAGTATTTCATCTCGATGTACTCCGTCTTTGATATGATTTAAATCAAGTTCATCGTCATAATTTGCTTCCGATAGTGAAGAAAGGGACACAGAGGTTATTGAAAACGAAAAACTTTCAACTGACAAATTAGTCGGTATTCTCGACACAGCAATTATAGGACTTGAACAGCGGAACTTTGTAACTAAACAAGAAATTATGTCTGTTTAATAGAATTAAAGAGAAAATATTATCACATGAAACGAAGCAACTTACATTGAAAGAAATGTTTAATAAAGTAAACAAATAAATATTAAGCATTCTTCTTGTAACATTTATACCCTTTATATCATAATCACTCTTTATTTCATAAATTACGGTTTCATATTTTTAATTTTATAATTTCTGCATGCCATCTAACCAGATTTAAACTGATGATCTATAATCCGGAAAAATCGATAATCCGGAATCGCCGAGTCCGGATTAACGACTTTTGACTGTACATAGAAATAGAAATATATAGAAATATTTTATTTCCAGATAATATATTAGTCAGCGCAGCAATTAGCACACATGCTTATCTTTCTGATTTTTTGTGTACAATATCCACATACATATTTATTACAGTTGTCGCAAATATTAGAAGTTTTGTTACCATTGCATTTCCTTGCTTGACATTTCTTCCTCCTTTTTTTTTTTTTTTTTTTTTTTTTTTTGTGTTTTTGAGTGTATTGAATCTTGTCCATCCACAAAGCCACTTGAAGAGAGAACAAATTTGTTTTTACTAGATATATATTCTTCTCTTAGTTCTTCTGCCAAACGCAATAGAAAATCCCTTCTGCTGATATTTTCTTTTGTAACTTCCTTATACAGAATCCACGCATTTATGCCTGCTAAATCCAAAATATTGTAGAATACATGTACTGGACAATGGCGTGATGGTGCTTTCACGAAGTACTTTCTTGCCATTTGATCCAAAACATCTACACCGAATTTTGTAGAATTGTAAAACTGCGATGATGAATACTTTATATCCTAATTTAACATAACATAATAGTTCTAAAATTTTAGAGACTGTGTTGAAGTTATTTCTAATAAAAGAGAGAAAAACTTGTAAAATGTGATTTTTTTAAAACTGCAAAATATGAAAATCTAAAATTCATAACTTGCATGAAAATCATTTGAATCATTATTGAATCATTATTAAATTATAATTTGCATCTTATTTTGAATTAATGTGTGACAGAGAATATTGGTACTAATTGTGAAGCTTTCCTTATTAGAATAATGCTAAGATTTTAATATTTTTATGCATGACATATTGTAATATTTTAAAGCAGCTTTGAGATTTCAAATCTCTGTGCCAATGATGTGTAGTTCATCTCACGTTTTAAATGATATATATAAAAGACAAAATTGTCATAGCATAGAAACTGCAATAATTGTTTATTATTTGTATTATTACTTTATGGATTCATATTGCAATTGAAAAACACTTTATAAACCACAAAATTTAAAGTATAAATATGATCATTTTAATAAATTTAAAATTATTTTATATTTTAAACATTTTCTGTGTTTACTGTATACAAATAAAGTGTTTTTATTTCATGCATTAGTTCATTTAATAGAATTTATTTAAAATTCTAAATTAAAGGAAACTGCATATTGAAATAAACTGGCTTTCATCTATGAAACAGAATATTGACGTTCATATTTAAAGCAACGCAAAAGCTTGTCACCTGTTGAATCAAGAAAATATTTGATTAACTTGGAATTTTTTATGATAATTAATAGTAAATACATATTTCTGGCTGTGGTCCATAGCAAAATAACTGTTTATTTTATTATTTATTATACAGTCAAAAGTCGTTAATTCGGACACCCATAATCCGGAATGATCTATAATCCGGACCTCAAAGCTACAAACTTTCTGCGCATGCGTCGCTTTGACGCATGCGCGTAAGATCTTTACCGCTGCGAATTTGCGTGTGCGCGTGCGCAAAATACGTTTACGAATGCGCGTTTAATGTATAACGGACGGGATAAGCTAAGCTAAAATTATCTATGATCTATTTCAGTTAATGTTGCAGATTGCGTTGTTCCTTAATCTTCGAATTGGATCCGGATTATTATTTTTTTGCAGACTGTTAGAGCAATTTTATAAAAGTAAGCTTGAACTTTCGATTATGTCAAATAGAATTTCCGATATATATTTACTAATATGTAAAGGATATACAAAGCGAAAGTATCTTTCGGAGTCCATTAAACAAAAGTAGAATTGCTGCAAAAAAAAAAAAAAAAAATGGATAAAGGCATATCCTTTGTTTATCTAAACTTTAACGTTTGTTTATGTAAACTTTAACGTTTGTTTATAAAACATTGTTTATCTAACCGGGTTAACACCGGGCGGTGTGCAATGAATTGGAAGTTGATCCAGCACTATCCTTATCTTAAGAGCAGATGTTTTATTTTATTTGGCTTATAATTGCTTACTCAATGTAGTATTTCATCTCGATGTGTCTTTGATATGATTTAAATCAAATGCCTTGTCATTATAATTCGCTTCGGATAGCGAAGAAAGTGATAGAGGTTATTGAAAACGAAAAAATTTCGATTGACAAATTAGTCGGTATTCTCGACACAGCAATTATAGGATTTGAACAGCGAAACTTTGTAACTGAACAAGAAATTATGTCTGTTTATAGAATTAAAGAGAATGTATTATCACATAAAAAACGAAGCAACTTAAACAACTTACATTGAAAGAAATGTTTAATAAAGTAAACAAATAAATATTAAGCTTTTTTTTTTGGTAAATTTTGATATCCTTTAGATCATAATTGTTCTTTCTTTCGTAAATTACGGTTTCATATTTTTAATTTTATAATTTCTGCATGCCATTTTACCAGATTTAAACTGATGATCTATAATCCGGAAAAAATCGATAATCCGGAATCGCCGAAGTCCCGATGAGTCCGGATTAACGACTTTTGACTGTATTATGTTCTACATTTTCTTTTTATATTGTGCATGATTTTTTTTATGAGGAGGTATGTTGTAATATTTTGTTTTTATGTTTATTTTGATTACTTTTCAGTTTATGAAAGTTTTTTTGATTTTTATTTTTATTCTTTTATAGAAGAAAATTTGCCTGATTATAGCAGGTATAATCATCTTAATAATTTTGATAGTCCTCATTGTCTATGCTTGTGGTGGCTTTTGAAACAGCAGACATCAAGTTTTCTTCTTTACACTGGATATTTTGGAACGTGTTAAGTGTGTTAACTATGCAGATTCATAACCACACAGTCAGATATCTTTGTAAATACAAAGTATTATTTTCATGATTTTTGATTTATATACATATTGCATCATAAATTATTACCATTGTGAATACATCATGATTCCTTTGTGATTTAAAATGTCATCCTTTTCATGCACAATGTGTATAACATAAATATGTGTATTTATTTATGTTTTATTTAATTATGTCCCATGATGAAGTCATAATGCTGAGAAGCAAAGAAAAATTCATATGTATAATAATTATGAAAGGGAACACATCTATTATAACAACTAATATACTAGTTTTTAAGAAATTTTTATGTGCCTTATTTAGTAAAATCTGAAAATATATAGCATGAATAATCAATCATTTATCTTCAGTATATTCTGCTGCATATTTCTTCATTTTTAAGGGTACATTATTGGTCACTTTTTTTTTAAGCATTTTTATCTAAATTATATTGAAATATTTAAGTGTCCAGAGTGCGACACGTATGAAAGTGTTTGACTTTTTAAACTTCATTGCTAATTCAGACTCCCTGGATTCAGATACTTGTATATCTTTATATGTACACTAATATAGTCATCATAAACACATTGCAATGTCAATAGAGGCAATAAAAAGTGTTCCTAGTTTCTTGTATAAAATGTTTATATGAGCATTAGCTACTTAACTTAGTAAAAGTGATCTCTTTTATGTCTGTTGTTTGTTCTATTACTTCCCCCCCTTTGGTAGTTTCCAAAGGCAGCATTAAGTGAAATTTGTATATAATTTTATCCAGCTTCTTCTGGTTTTATATCATTTTATAAAACTAAAACTTCATATTTTGTTGAGCATTTGAAATTCTGTATTTATTCATAGTTTTAACAGTTCCTTCAGCAACATAGTTTTATCAATTCAAAAAATTTCTGAATACAAACCTCATTTTATTGTGTGTAACATTTTTTTTTAATTCAAATATTTTGAATACATATTAACTCTTTGGTTGTTATCACAATCTTTTATCATAACTCTTCTCTCATTTGCATTACACCAGAGAAACAGTAACTACAAAAGTCACTTATTTTTTCTGCTGTTTCTTTTGTTAATAATACCCATTCCCATTACAGAAGATTAGAGATAAATGTTTTGAAAGAGAATTGTGTACCTCATTTCTTAACAGAATATTCATTTTTTCATACCTGCAGCATTTGTAAAATTATATCGATACACAGAGCCAGATTTAAACTTGATAAAGCCCTGAGTTATTTTAGATATAGAAGCCCTAAGCTATTGAGATATAGATAAGTCTATAATATATTTTAATACTATTTATACCATATTTTAATTTGGACCTTAAGCTATAGCTTGTACATAAATCCGGCCCTGTCGATACAAAACTGAATGACATTTAATATTTTTATGATGTCAACATGTAGAGTCATTAGGTTTATTTTTTTAAGCAGGGAATGTGAAAAATTAATGCTCTTGCTAGGACTCGAACCTGGACTTCTTGAATATGTGCCATGTGTGCTACCGTTACATGACGAAGGCATGCTGAAAGGAGAGAGAAAATAAATTAAACATAAACTATTTCTAAATAAAATTTCTAAAATTGTTTTCTTGTTTCCTTTTCTGAATGTGCAAGCGTATAAAATATTTTAAGCTATAAATAATAAAACACAAATCTTTCATAATTAATTGTAATTTTTTTTTTCCTATCAATCTAAAAATTTATCTAACTTTCAGTTTTGTGTTACTTTTCTTGCAAAAATATAACTTCCTAAAATGTTGATTGAGAAAAACCTTAAGGCAAAGCAAAATTCTCATTAGCTATTCGTAAAATTTTAATAGCCATTGTAAAAGCTTCTGTGTTCATTAAATTCAGTTTTTCCCATTAAGTCTTACAATATCGAAAGAATGTCTACTCAACATTGGATTATTTCCAGCAATGATGTCAGCTCAGCTAATTGTGCAGCTGGAGCAAAGATATGCTTTATAAGTAGCACATATTTGTGTCTTTTTTTTTTTTTAGAAGAAGAATTCATTCTCACAAAAGGAACTTATTTGTGCACATAATAGTCTGAATGGGAGTTGGTGTTATTCGTGATCACTAAAAAGGAAAAAGAATAGCAAATAATATCTAAGTATTCCTTAAACTTTCTGTAGCATGTAATGAGTTAATCACATGGATATTTCCGTTATTGTTTCTCTATATAATATGAATATAATTTACTTTAGAAAATTCTCCATGTAGGAATTCTTTGATAGGATTTCATATTCATCATTTAATAATATGTGTTACACAATTTTGTAAATTGTGGTTCAGTGGCCCCCATTTTGATGGCAGATATTCCTTTAAATGCTTTGCTATGATTAAATAATCTGTATTTATATAAAATAAAATAAAATTAGATTTTTCAGTTTTGTAATGAGCATTATGTATAATTATTAAAAATATGAAAAACATTACTTGATTTTAGATATGTGAGTATTTTTTATTATTTGAATTTCTCTTTTAACTATGAAAAATATTCCTTTAGTCTCTTGTTTAACATTTTTCAAATTCAAGATGTTAAGGTAAAGACTTCTCTAAGGCAACCACCTATGTTACCAGTATCTTAAACTTAAATACAGTATGAAGTCCAAAATCCATTAAATGATCTAATAACCAGACCTCTGCACTATCAAGCAAAAAAAAAAAAAAAAAAAAAAAAAATTATAATCCCTAAATAAAATAATAAGCAGCTGAATTGCTAGCTAAGCATAGTCTTGAATATTTTGAATTTGCTGTTAAAGGGTGACACAAATAGCAAGCAGTGAGGGTTTAACTAGAAGCAAGATAGCCAGTTCATTTGCACTGTAATCTGAGAGCATAACACACTCAGCTTTGAGCTGTTTGAAGTGGCTGTCACTCTTTGTGTAATTCTCAATGCGGTATCCATAAGGAAAAAGTTTGGAGATAATAACTAAAAAGCAAACCTGCAGTCTCGACATCTCACCTCAGGATCTCCTTTGTTTTGAAATCATGTTTTTCATATATACTTCCCCTTCTCCTACAAAAGAAAGTAGTTGCTAAATGAAAATTGCCATTATGTGGTATTTCCTGAAGAACATATCTTTTCAAGAGTTTTTCCTGTAATAAAAGTTTCATTTAGCTTTAATGGAATATTACTTTTCTTCTACTCTTCTACTTAACTTGCTGTTTGAATTACTGCCTGTTGTACATGCTCAAGACTTGCAAGATGAATTTCGCCTGTGTTTTATTTGGCATGAAATGAGAAAAACAGTAAACAGAAATAAAATTAATTGTTTTGTTTCACCAAAGAGACTCTTGGAGATGTAGCAGTGTTTTGAAGAGAATGATGTTTCTGGAGCTCTTGAAGTGGTCTGTGACAGGATCATAACTGGAATGCACACCAATCTAAAATTTAAAGTTAGAAACATCCAAGAATTTTTTTAAAAATTTCTAGGAGGAAAAAAAAAATCTTTAAAGGTTTTGCTGGTGTTTCTTGAAATATGTAGTTTTTCTGTAAGCATTGGTTTAAATTAAATTTTGCCTAATTATAATATTCAGTGATAAAATTTTTTGATAATCTATCCCTGGTCTGTAGCTGTGATTTGGTAATCTGTTGTAGCTACAGAATGTTAAAAAAATATGCTCATAAGACAGGAGTTGTCAACTTCTTTATTAAATTTCTTTTTGCAAAAATTTATGTGATTGTGCAAGACTAAAATGTATATGACAATTTTCAAATTAAAATGTAAGCTAATTAGCTAAAAATATTTTAAACAAGCAATAACTAATTGTTTTGAACAAACTGCATTCTTTAGATATTGTATATATATATATATATATATTAGCAATTATATAAATTATAATTAGTCTCTTTGTGGTATTGTCCTCTTATGAAGAAATGTTATGTGTTTATCCTGAAGTAAAAAATTTGTTTTTATGAGTTCCACTTCTTCCCTACAAGGGAAAGTTTCTGTCATATTTTATCACTTATGAGTGGTTCCATGTAAGCTAATTCTGTTAACAACTAAATTGAATGAATTGACTTTCCTTTTCTTTCCCACCTTCCATCTTACTGATTCTTTTTTTTCCCTTAAAATATTCATTGCCTGTCAATGTACAGGGTTTTCGCAAATGATGTATACAATTTGGGGTTGCTTGTGGGGAAAAACTGTACAGTGAAGAGTCTGTCAAGGTTAGACATACAGTACAAATTTTGTACAGCACAATCATTATATCTTCATATGTGCACCATTAGTTGCACATATGATGCACAAGCAATACACCACTTCCTGCCACATATCCTGCAGAATGTCATTTATGACCTGTTTAAGTGCTGTAATAATGCATGTTCAAATACCATCAACAGATGTAACTTTAGTCTTTTACTTCCTGTGCCCGCAGAAAAGATTCTCTCTCTTTTTTTTTTTTTTTTTTTTTTTTTTTTTGATTAATAACTAAAACCATGACAGAGACATCATTTCTGTTCATTGGATTCTACATGCCCTGCTACTCATCACAGTCTGAAAGTAGTCTAAGGGTCAAACTTTGACAATTACCACTTTCCTGTGAAAGGAAAGGGAAAAAAAAAAGGTCTTGTAGGTTCATTGCATTTTATTGTGAAATTGTATACATCATTTTGTTGATACAATGTATTGTAACTGTGACTAACTGCTATTACTACTTTTCCTTTCTTGCTAATTCTATTTTCTTCTCCCTTCTGCAGAAGAAGATCATGATCATGATCTGTGTGATCATCTTGGTGGTGATACTTGTGTCCGCCTTGGCTGGTTCTCTGGGAATGTAATTCTACAGCTTGCTGCACCTCTTACACATTTTACTCATTCTACAACCTTACACTGAGGGAAGTGAATTTCAAATCTTTTTTCTTCCCAAATTGTTGGTTGTCAAGAAAAATAACTTAGTTCACTAAAGGTGCCATTACTAACAGGTAGTGCTATCCCACATTTCTGAATGTATGTATTGTAAATCTTAAGTTTAGGAAAAATGTTCTAGAGTGTGACACCTTAAGGCCTGGAGTAAATGAAATTTATTTATTAGTTAAATTTTATAATTGTTAATACAGTATGAAATCTTAACAATGTGTTCCCATTTCTTGTGATTTCAGATGTGAATGATTTAAAAAAAAGTGTTGAAATGTCAATTATTTTGGATATACAAATTGTGATTCAGATTATAATTGGCTGATAAAATATTATGAAAGTACTCGTGAAATATGTATAGTTTAACCATTTCATTTAGAAAACTGACGTATCAGTGTATGTATTTTCTTTAACACACTTATTTTGTTTAATTGTAATTAGACATTGGAAACTTTTATAAAAAAAAACTTTTTGAAGTGTTCTAAAGAAGGAAGTATAATTTGCTTTTACAAATCAATGTTGTCTTGATTGAATACACTTTTTTATTTAGTAATGTTTGAAATTCCAACTCGTATAGAGTAGCTATTGTGAAATTTTTATAAATTTGATTTTTTGTTAGTTCTTTTAATGCATTTGTATTTGTTTATATATGCATATATAAGTGCATGTATAAACAAGTAATATTTTATCACAGGCATTTCAGTGTGATATAGGCATGTATTTGTTTCAAAATTACAAAATTTAACATCTCGATCATAATTTAATGGTACATAAGTCATTATATTTATGACTGTAATAGTAAATGTTTATAAGCCTGGCAGACTCTGTGATGTAGCCATATGTACCTGTTGGCTATGTACATATTTATACGTGTAGTGTTTAAAGTAGATCTTCTTTATATTACACTCTTTGAATAATTGGCTTTCAAACTGAATGTTGGATAACAAATTATATACTGTAATTTGTGGTGTAGCTTTGCAAGCATGCTGTAATATGTATGAATAGATAGAAAATTGCAGTATGGAAAGAAATCTGCGGCTTCTAGTAAGCAAAATGGTGATTTGTGTCTTAAGTGAAAGAACGCACACAATATTTTTAACTTCTTTTTTTGGAGGTAGATTTTAAAACAAATACAGTATCTTTTGAAATTTTTTTGTCCATGGTATATTGATGCAATTGTTGAAATTTTAATTTCATCTTGTGATTAATATTATCGTGATTCACATTTACTTTGTCTGGAATGAATTTGTCCTCCTCTGTATGTATGTTAATTTATTGTAAAACCATATGCTGAGCTAAGTAACAATCTTTGTACTTTATTATGTATTTTATACTATGTAAAATGTAATTATACTGTAATAAGTGCTTGTCCTAGAACAAGAGTGTATCATGTGGAATTTGTGGCTTTTGTTTTTTTTATGTATCTCATGAATAATAAATACTTTGTATGTGTGAAGTTGATGATCTCATATTGATCATCATTTCATCACCATTTAGCGATATTTAGAACCTGTCAATTAAAAACAAATTTCATTGTTCCACAGAATATGTATTATCGGGTTTAATACTTAAAGATATGAAATATCTGGTCATCATCTTGCCTTACATTATATAGCAATAATCTTCCTACCATCTCTGTCTTTCCTTATGACCTTTTGATGTTTTAACGCATGCATGATGTACCAGTTGTATAAGCAAGTTTCATGAATTCTCATCCTAGCATGTCTGTTTTGTTGAATTACAGATTTATTTCATTCTCTTTTATTATAGAAAGATAATGGTTCTTAATCTTTTGTGCTGGTATTCTGAATTCAGAAATCAGTTAAATTTTCCATAATTTATAATAAATGAATTTTCTGTCTATAGAATATTTTAACAAATTTATTATTCAAAGATAACATGCTGTTTGCTAACAGAGGATAATAGATAATAATGAGAAACAAAAAATTCTATTTTCATTATAAATTTTAATATATATTAAAATAATAACATGACAAAAAGTTTCATTTGAACAATATGAATTTCAAAAAATTAAACCCATCCGATCTTGTTTGGTGAAATTGCAAATCTGTTTCTCTCTGGTGCTTTCCTCTCACTTCAGAGAAAATTATGCATTGCTACTTCAGTTGACTGAAGGGTCTGTTAAATGCTTATACACTTGTGATCGCAGCCGGATAAAGACTGTCTGAGACTAAGCACGAAAAGATTTTGGTTCCCCCCCCCTCCACATACATTTACAGTATAATGCCTGTTATTTTTCCCAGTTCTTTTCTTTTGGTCTTGGTTTAGCTGTACCATACCTTCCATGGTAAAATCAGAAATGAAAAATTTCTGTGGTGCCACCGTCCTAAGCATGCTTAATGGTACTTATTTTGCTTAATGATAAATCCAGCTCTGCTTATAATTCTCACAACAGACATTTGTTCATACATTGTGCGTACAAGATATTTGGCCCTTATATTAATTAGTATATATACTAATTAATATAAGGGCATAATCATTTTTTCATATCTTTTATGAGAAAATAATCAATTTTCATATCTTTTATGAGAAAGAAATAACTCAATCAGAATCCCTTTGTTTGGTATTAACTTTTGTTGATCACATTTGTTTAAAATTATGTTACTTTTATGTCTTTATTTGTGATTGGATTTATTTGCATTCCAAATTTCATGAACCCGTAAGTATTTTTAATGGGATAGTTTTTGCATAAAATCTGTGCATAGAAATATAAGTAACATCTGAGAAAAATTTTACTTAAAATACGATAGATTAAAAATAAATGTTTTTGAGTAAAGAAGTCTAAAATAGGTATCTGATTTTACTTCATGTTACTAAATAATGTTTAAAGTTTCCAGTATGCCAGAATATGAATTAAAATTATGTCATAACTAAATCTCCAGTGTTAACTTCAGCTATAAAGAAATTTAAAGAAAATCAGCTTCCTATAATGTTTCTATATTCTGTAAAAATCAAAGTTTAAACACAAAGAATGTTATATTTAACTTTATGAAAATATCAATAGATTATATTCTGAGCTAAAGATCAAAAATAAAATATCAAATAGAAAATATTTAAGTTTGTTTTCTGAGATAGTGTTCAGATTCCAAGTTTTCTCATAAATAAATATCATTAAGTTTTTAAATACAAAAAATATAATCAGTTTATTTTGCATAGAATAAGAATTTAATTCATTTTGATTATTGGTATATAAAATCATATGTTCTGCTAAGTACTGTGGTAACTTGTTAGCTTAACCAAATTTTTCCATCACTTTAGAAATCCTTGAAAACTAAAAACGCCAAAATAGAAAACTAAGCCACAAGTCGACAAGTGCAAAGAGTAAAACAGCATATAATGTTTTAACCTTTTTTACATAATTCAATGTAGATGGTTAACTTTTGCTGTAATGCTGAGTGTCAAATTAATTTTTAAAGTGTTTTGAGGAGGGAACATTATTATTATTCAAATAGTATTTGAAGGTTAAGAACCATTATTCCACAGCTCAGGCCCAAAATAAATGTTCTTATTTCCTAGAATTTCCATCTACAATTTTAACTGAAATACCCTACAATAAATATTATTCATTGTGATGTAAAAAACATTCTGTTTATTGTATTTCCATCTGAGGGAGTTATGTGGGGTAGTACTACCTTAGTTTTTGGCTTAATATTAAGTTAATTTATTTCATGTTCAAATATTTACAAACTTTTCTCATCTCCATCTTTGCAGTGCCACTTAATGTATGTTTAGGCTAACATATTCTCCCTTGTGCATTTCTGATTAAGGAAATTATTGGAAAATAGCTTTTACTGCTAATGAATCTTCAACTAGAAAAATGGATCATAATAAATCTTTATAGAAGATATGTCAATAGTTAAGTGTTTTTGCACGCTGTGTCCTATGTTTTCTTGACTTTGATGTTTTTGGTTAGATCTTAAGTATATATGTATTCCAAAATATGACTGGTGTATTCCTTTAATAATTTAAATTTATATAGCTTACTTTATTTTATTCAAAAATGTTAATAGTGCTTAAAAGAAAAAAAAGATGCAATTTATTTCTTTATTATATACGTAATACTTGTCTATTTTTGCTACAAATTATTTAATTATGCTGTAAACAGAAGTAGGAATAAAATTAATTTGTACATATATATTTCACAATTGTTTTTCATAATATACTACGAATGAAGCAAACAGAATTTGTAATGGAGAAAAAGATTTCGTGATTAAATTTTATGAACTGTAATTTATAATGCCAAATGTGATCTTGTAAAATATTCTTATTTTTTAAATTACTTTCTTCGAAATTAGACCTGTTAAACATAAAATGGAACGTATTCTCTTTTGGGCTACCAATAATCTATTATTTTTCTATTTTGTAAGATTATTAAAAAAATAGAAAATGGTTATTGAACTCTTTGCTTAGTTTAGAATCCCCTTAAAAATGTCAAGGCCTTATCTGTTTATAAAAAGTGAAATTTCCCATCCTTGTTCATCATGTCAAATATTTGCTATCTAAATATTGTAGAGAAATTCTTCACCTCCCTTAAACACAGGTCTTTTAAAAACGTGTAGACTAAAAAAGAACAGACAATAAATATTATGTAATTTTATTAGGCTGGGGGTATGATTTATGTCAAACAAATTAAACACTTCTTTTTTTATATTTTTTATGTGTTTGGTGTTAAAAAAAGAATAGATTTTTTTGTGATCAAATTTAGTTATGAATAATATGCTAGTAATAAAGCACATCAAATGAAATTTTATCTCAAAAAACCCTTCTAGGTATATTGGGTTTAAATGTTGAAAAATTATTATTTTTATTTATTTTATCATCAAGGATTACTGTAAAATGATTCTTATGTCCTTTAAATTCAACAACTTCTGTGCATATATAACATTAGAAAAGCATTAAAAATTATGTAGTTTGTTAATTTTTCTTCCCTCTACCAACCAAAGAGCTCAGCAATCAGCAAGCTCTGAGAAAGTGCTGCTTTTAAATGAAGTTTTTTTTAATGCAAGTTTCATAATTTTTTAATTTGATTTATTTAAAAATGATGGTACCCCACTAAACCCCTCGGGGGGAGAAGAATATATTCTACTTGAATTTGGGGGTACACCAGTATTAGTTATTCAGGTGGTTTTGTTTAGTAATACATAAATATATAAAAGCATATCTATTCAAAATGTACATATTAAAAAAAAGAAAAAAGAAAGAAAGAAGAAAAGAAAGTAGAAATTTGAAACTGACTTATCAAAATGTGTCCTTTGAAATAATTGCTTATGTTGCTTTTAAAGGAGGAGAAATTTATCTAGATTCTGTAGACTGAGTGGTACATATAGAATTTATGCAGAAATATGCCTTCAGTTGATACTTTACATTGCAGATTAAATTAATATTTCAAATGTATGATGTTATTTTACGAAATTGTTGAAATATTTTCTCCCTTTCAAATATTGTTAACATGCCCATACTCGAAAAATTCTGATGTTAGGAAGATAAATTACCGTTAAATTAAGCACTGTCATAAATTTTGGGTTTAAATCTTTGGTGAGCCACTGCAAATATAAATGTCCACCTACTTGCTTATATTGATTTTTATTCGCAGTTACAGAAGCCTTCATTTATTTATGTATAAATATTTATTAATGAAACTATTTAACCTGACAATCTATAATCTGAAATTTTTGTTATAAAACATGTATTAGAATAATAATTACATAAATCTGAATCAGAGCAGCTTACATTTTGGGGGGTTATATTGTCACCTGCTCTTAATGTAAAATATATAATAATATGTACCTAGATACATTTTCAGAAGACTTGTTACATTTTAATTTGAAATAGGGCTTATTCTGTTTGAAAAAATGAATAAAATATCATTTAATTGAATATAAGAAAACTGCACTCTTGTTTAAACAAATTTTGCAGGTATTTGTGATCTTGTGTGGAGTTTAAACTTATGACTTCAAAAAAGTTGTACCATTTATCTTTCTATCTTTGGATATAATTATAGTTTTTTCCTTCAAAAAATGTATGTCTTTCTGCACATTTTTAAAACAATGCCTAGTGTTAAATTCTGCATAGTTTAATATTTATATGTATACATATATATTACGGCATGACTGCAAGCCACTGCCATACAGAAATTCTATTTCTGTCTAACATAAAAGCAGTGATGTTCATCTTGGAACATTGTTCTTTTTGAAAATCTTGTTGTCGTTTTAGTGGCCACTTCAAACTTGTAGCATAGAAAAGTAAAAGGTCCCACTGAACTACTGTCCTTTTCACTTTCTGGTGTTGTCATTCCACCAAATCATTCCAACGTTCAGTGTAAATAATATTGTAAATACTCGGGCATAGTTATTATGAGAGGGCTGCTTCGGTGACAACACTGTAGAAGACTTGGTCTGGGAATGACATAGATGTTTCATCACTGTGCTTCCCCTTTTTTTGATCTGAAATTTGTATTTATAAAAACTTGTGTGAATTCTTCTGTTTTACAAGTCAGTATATGTAGAAATTCTGTAAAGATATAGAATTTTACCAATCAAAATGTCAGCAAAAAATGCAGTATATGGTATGATATGTTAGATGCATTGAAATTTACTGAAATGTGTTAAGACCTTTTATTAGAAATATAAAAACAACCCATAGCAATTACAGTTGAAACATCTGTTCCCTTCTGTACAATTAGGTAGCTACGTGTTGTAAAATGTTGAGGAAAATCTGTATTAAAATAGTAGAATATCAATATCATAATGTTCAGAAAATTCAGTAGCTTTATTTTGATAAATTTCCTTAAATGAAAGCATTTTTGAATGCCAATTATAATAGTATATGCATTGTACATAGATATTTCCTGTGGTATTTAATTCACTTTTTTCATTATTTTATTAGGCGGAAAATAGTTATTTGGCATTAAATCATTTTCTTTAGGAACAGGCTAATATATTTTATAATAATTATATTAATTTGGGATACTTTAATCTATAATCGCATATTATTTTGGTAGGAAAATAATTTTGTAGCCTTTGTATTGTTTCTGGTGATATTTTACTGCCTTTTGTGGAAGAGCTACACTGTGTGTTAATATCTAACTGTAATAAAATAAGTTATTGTATTTTTTTAGTGTCTTAATATCTTTATTATTATAAGAATATATTACTAACATTTTCTTCTTATCTATAAAATGACTTTGTAATTCTTTAGCTCTTCAGTGAAAGGTAACTAATATAGTAATTTGTACTATTATTTAATATAAACAGTATTAACTATTCCAGTGCTTAATTTTGGTTCATACAATGCAATGTTGTGAACTTATATCTAAAATATCAGGAATAAAAGTACCTTAATGTGGCATTATATCCTTCATTGCCTTTAATCAATGAATTACATTTGTTTCAATCAAATAAATAGCTTGACATAAACAAAATTTATTTAGAATCTGATTTTCGTAATTAATCTTTTAAATGATACAGTTATGACACTTATATTTTTCAGTAGCATCTATGTTTCTGCATAAAGGCTTGACTTGTTATTTGACTAAGTTCTACAGTTATTACATGATAGATAGTTATACTGAATGCGCATAATTAATTGATCTCATTTAAAAGTTGCACATAACCATATGGCATATCGATTTGTTTTTAAAAATTGTTATATGAAATTAAATACCTTATTAATTAATATGTGAATTTAGTATCAAATAAATTATTACTGTAATTACTCAATACCATTTGCTGTTTTCAGCATTTCTGAAGTTATATGATGAAGAATGCAAGATTAAGATTCATAGCATAAAATAATCATTCATTAAAGTTACATTGTTTAAAAGGAAAAGTGTAATGTCAATTGCAGTACAACAATTGTAAAAACAGTCCATTATGTCTTCTGTATGAGCTATAAAAAACTGGTGATACAATTAGCTTGGAGGCATAGATGACAACAATGTTTGGTATTTACAAAGTTATGAAAACACTGTAATCAACATTAAATTTGATATTCTAATGAACAAGAGAGAGCCCTATTACTGTTTTATTATTGGCATCAGATTTAATGTAAGATTGCATGTGCCTAATTCATTGTCTAAACCCGAAGTATCTTATTTGCCTAAGAGTTAATTCTGCATATGACGTTATAGTGTGATTAACATCTTGTCACACCAATTAAAAACTACTAAAATTCATTCTTGCATTTTCAGTAAACATATTGTCTTTGAATTTTTTCCTAGTATTTGTGATTGGATAAAAAATTATGCATGTTCAATGTATGTTTGTACAGGTACAATAAATAATCAAATTGCATATAAATAATCAAATTCTTAATTAGAAGTAAGTATAGGGCAGTAGAATGATCAGATGAAAAATAATACCTCTCTAATATGAACAAATAATGTTATGGGCTGTATATATATTTCTAATTAAGGCTGGAAGTTTTCTCCTCATAATGTGTTGAAGTTACACATGTTACTTTCACACTGTAGCTCTCCTACAAGCTTAATAGATGACATTCTCTTTATTCAACATGCAAAAATTGTAGTTTTATTGAAATTTTACTATTATATTCTAATAAATTCAGTGCATCATTATGTTTACTTTTCCCATTTTTATCAGATAGAAATGCATTTAATTTTTTAATTCTTATAGACTTCTGTAAGTTATTGTGCCTTATCTGTGTGACTGTAACATGTGGTTCAAGTTGGGACTCCACTTAAATCTTGTGTACAGAATGATAATTCCTTTAATACACTAAATGATAGAGTAAATTTCTCTTCAGAATATTTGTTCCTCAATTTATGCATTTTAAGAATGGATTATGTAGAATTTATTATAATTTCTAATCAGTGTATATGATTTTATGAATTTATTATGTATATGTATATAGGATCACTCTTATTGTAAATACAAAATATGAATTAATGTTTTTACATTGGCTCATTGCTTTGGCAATTAATATTATGCAGGCCTGCCAAATAGAAAGTTTTATGCCTTGGAGTGCATAAGAAATTATTAACATGTATTTTATTACTGTAATTTTTTTCATGTTAGAAAGTGTGTCTAAGAAATGAAAAAAAGCACTTATATTAAAATTTGTAAATGTAATTATTAACTTATTTATTTGTAATAGTTCCAGTTATCAACATAAATATATAATACATAATCTGTTAGTTTAATTAAAATTTAAATTACCTGCTATTCTTTGAAAATGAAATTAAAGGAAAAGAATTAAAACTGTACAAATACAGATAGGTTTTTTTTTTTTTTTTTTTTTTTTTTTTTTTTTATGAATAATGTTTCTGGTTTACTTATGTAAAATATAGATGAAAGAAAAACTAAGGCTTTGTTAGAATATTTAAAGAATTATGAAATAATACAGTTTTGTCTGAAATGAATCGAAATGTGTGTACTGATATGCTATCAAGAAAACAAAAATTCAGAAATATAGAAATTGTAAATAATTTTAAATCTAAACTTTCAGCGAACTGATATATTTTTTCCCCTTCTTTTCTCAGTTTCTCCTCTACATTTGAAATTTGTTAACTTTTTTAGAGTTTTCCTCCCCCCTTCCATTTGAATATACTTCTTTGACGTAAATAGGGAAGAATATTTTATATATTCACTTTTAATGCATGAAATTGGCATTAATGTAAGTTTAATCATTTTAAACTTGAAACATATATATATATATATATTTAATGTATATATAAAACCTTTTATATTTCACCCATTTTAAGGACTGAATGTCTTTACTGTACTATTAAGTGATTCTGAAAGAACACAGAATAAAAGTTCAAAAAATATATTATGACCAGACTTTTGCATTATAAATGCATGGTATATAGTTTAAAGTGCAAAATAAAGTTTACGTTTTAAGTAGCTTACTTCAATTTTAAAGAATGTCATTTAAATTATTGCATTTATAACTGAAATTGAACCTTTAATAAATCTTCATTGTTTGTCTCAATACATTATTTCTTTTTAATGTATATTTATAAAAAAAAATTTAAGTGGCCTTTCAGCTTATTTTTACTTATAAGAAATTTAATACTGAAAACCAAAACAGTTCATAATAGAAACACTTATGTATATTTAAACAGTACTATATCAAAATATATTTAACTAATTTGTATCTGGCATTCATAAAAGGTTTATTATAAATTTTAAAAATTCATAATTTGCACTTAAATTGTAAATAACAATAAATACATTTTTCAGAAGTGTTTATCTATAAAATTTTATTGACTTATGTGTGATGTAGCATTTCAATGATTGTTGAAATTTTTTACTGCATTATTTCACTGAATATGTTATTCTTGATTACTAATCGTGAGAATTCCTACTATTTAATTTAGATACTCCTATGAGTGAAGTTTTGGCAAACCTGCATAAGATTTTAATTGTGTTGCTAAGGCTCATACTGTTTTGTTTATTATTTCATAATATTTCTGTATATTTAATTTATATTTTTCATGTTGTAAAAACATCATCATTATATATTTTACTCTTGTAAGAGTCATTTACACATACTACTGATTATTTATTAAATTATCTTACATGTCATTAATGTAATTTGTCACTTGTCACCATTTCACGGCTTAAAATTTATTAGTGCAATTGTTTCCTACAACAGAATGCTTTGAATACCTGTGACAATTATCATAATGAGTGGTGAAACTTGACTTCACATAAAGTTTCTAAACCTTTCCCCTCCCCCCCTTGTTCAATATTATGTAGCAAATTAATGACTTGGCATTGAAAAGTTTTCTGTTACTGCCAATTTTGGAAATTATGTACAAAAAAAAGTTAATGCATCCAAATTATATTCATGCAAATCAAGTTATTGGAATGATAACTATATCTAGAAATGATTTAACTCATTAGTTCCTTCCATTATTAGAAATAATTTTAAGGAATTATTTGTTGCCTGAGTAATTTAAATCACTTAATGATAAACATTTTAAAATAATATATAATTAGTAAATTGAAAAAAGAAGAGCCTTATCAATTTAACTCTTTAGGAATTAAACTATATTTATGTATTGCATATTTTACATAGTCAATGTAATAAAAAATTAATATTTTCTTAGCATTAGAAATTTAAATTTCTGTAAAATTGTATAAACTTTGAACAAAATTTTGAAATTAAAAAAAAAAGGTGCCTTCCTAACTAAGATAAAATAAGTTCATCACTCTCTTTTAATTATAAGAGATGCAAGATATAGTTAAATAATTTAAAAGGTCAAAAAATCTTTTTTGTATGTTTCATTGCCACATCTTAGTTGGAATTGTCAATGCATTTTAAAGTAAAATCATGTACTGAGATAATTCTATTTAACTCTCTTCATGAATACTGAAGTCATTATTGTGTACTATACTTAAATGTATGAAGTCACAATGAATTAAAAGGCTTAGAGACATGATAAGGGTATTCTGTAAATCAAATTATGATTTTATAGTCTCATCTACAGAAAAAGTTTCTTAAAGAAAGCCCTGTAAGTTGCCTTAAACTAAGTGCTAATCTATTATATATACTAATTTCAATTTGATGTTTTAAAAGCATTGAATATATTGAAAAAAAAAGTTGTAAAAACGCTTCATGATAACATATATGTAACAATATTTCACTATGTGAATTATTATAGTCCTTCACATTTTGTACTTTTAATTTTTTTCCAATAGAGAATATTTAAAACTGTAAATTAAGTCAAGTTTCAGCACATTTTGTTGTAAGAGAGATTGATTTCATAATAGAATGCCAAATGGAAAAACTAAAAATGAATTGCTGGATTCATATACCTTTTTTGCAACAAAGATTGAGATCAATGATCTCACAGTTTAACAAATCTATGTAACAGCTGTTCTATAAGATAGCTTATTGCCAAGAATTTAGTTCTATACTTCCTGTACTTTTTTCATGCTAGATAATTCTTAAAACTTGCAAGTTTTGTTGTTCTCTCATATAAATTTAGAAATCTACAAATTTTTGTCATAGACTGGTCTTTCTTGATGGAATGAGCAATAAACATGTTTAGGGATGACTGAATGCATTTAGGTCCATTTTTTTTTCCATGTCTTTCTAATAATGATTAGATTTTTATTGTATTATTTTATTTAATATAATTAACTCAAATTCATGAAACAAAAACAAATATTTCATGCATAAAATCCATATGCCACATACAGAGGGTACTCGCACATTTTTGTAATGATTTTGATTTTCTCCATGAATTTAAATATTAATTTTAAAATACAAATGTGACAGGCATCAAATTATCCTCTGCAGCATCAAAAATATTTTCTTTAAAATGTCGCAGAAAAATAGGATGGAAGGCTATATTTTTGCACTGCCCAAATACTC